TCCTCAGGTTTGGCTCAAGAATAAACCCCGTTAAATATTTGCAGTTTGGCTTCTTTTCATCAACAACTTCTCTATAGCTTAAGTGGGTTTTTTTTGTTTGATTTGTGCTTGTTGTTTTTTTGAGACAGGGTCTTACTCTGTCCTCCAAGTTGGAGTGAAGTAGTGCAAACATAGCTCACTGCAGCCTCGAACTCCTAAGCTCAAGCCATCCTCCTGCCTCAGCTTCCAGAGTAGCTAGGATTGCAGGTGTGTGCCACTATGCCTGGTTAACTGTTTAAATTTTTTGGTAGAGATGGGGTCTTGCTATGTTGCCCAGGCTGGTTTCAAACTCCTGGCCTCAGCTGTCCTTCCCGCCTCAACCTCCCAAAGTGCTGGAGGCTAGTTTCTTATCAGTAAAAAGTGTACTGGCTAGTTTCTTATCAGTAAAAAGCTAATAATATTGGTGTTTGGGGGAAGGTAATAAACATAAAGCATATAGTTTCTGGCCTATGGTGGAGACTTAATAAATGGTTGCTGCTGCCATTATTATTATTATCACTATTACTATTACTAGCCATGGTTGTCAGTGAGTTTGTTTTGTTTTGCAAATCACTGAGTGTACCCCTGGGGGAGGGGCTGACTAAGGAGAACTCACTCAGCACAAACTTTTCCTGGAACTTCTTTGTCAGGTCACAGGCACGTCACACCAGCCCCCTTCCCCCGCCATTTTTCCTGGGATCTTTGCCAAGTCCTAAGCCAGGAAAGCTTGTTATATTAATTATGAAGAAAAAGCATGTTTTATTTAAAATCCCGGCTGCCGAATATTCTGCCATGCTGTTTCTCTGTGACAGCAGAATTGCTTTTGCATTTAAGAAACCCTGATGAATTTAAAATATAAATATATCCGTGCCTATATACACATACGGTTTCCTGCGACCTGATTTCCCTAAATACCGGTGTACACCGCCAAAGCTAATGAGTTGGACTCATGCTTAGGATCAGCTAGAAAAAAAAATCTATGAGAAGGTTACAGTGAAATTCATACCCTACCCTTTTCCATAAGACTATAGATGGTAGCAAGAGGAAGGCATGTCTCTCCAGTCTGTCCTGGGCCTGAAAGAGACTGATATTTTGAAAAGAGTGGCTCACATTCCTGTTAAAGATCTTGTTTGGTCCTGGGGCCCATGTAGATTTGGATGCTTGAATTAATCAGATGCTGAGCCTAGTTACTTGCCCATCTCAAACTGGCTCTGATACTTCAATATCCACAGTGTTTCTGAGCAATAACCACCAAGTGCGCGCGCTCTCTCTCTCTCTCTCTCTCTCTCTCTCTCTCTTCGGCAGAACCAGGCAGATAATGCACATCAGACATCAGTCAAATGGAAAGGGTTCTAGGGAGTGATAGGGACTGTGAACCTGAGAGACTCAAACTTCTTCTAATAACAGGAATGGTGGCAATTCCTTTCCATGGTGCCAGACAAGAAAGGGAGCCAGTGCTACCTGAATGTCTGATTTTCCAGAAAAACTGGAGATCTGTTATCATTATGTGAACTCTTCTGATTTTCTTTTTTTGTTGTTGTTAAGTTGGAGTCTCACTCTGTCGCCCAGACTGGAGTGCACAGTCTCGACCTGCTGGGCTTCAGCGATCCTTCCACCTCAGCCTTCCGAGTAGGCAGAATTACAGGCATGCGCTACCATGCCTGGCTGATTTTTTGATTTATTGTAGAGATGAGGTATTGCTGCCCAGGCGGGTCTCGAACCCGTGGGCTCAGGCAATCCACTCACCTCAGCCTCCCAAAGGCGCGGGATTACAGGCTGAGCCACTGAGCCCGGCTGATCTCTTCTGATCTTCAAATGCAACCAAGCAGTTAAAAGGAAACTAAAATACTCTTCTGGCTGACCTTCTACAGCCAAATAAAACTCAAGCTGTGAGTAGAGTGTATTCCAAGCTGCCAATTTGCAACCTCTGTTCTACGAGAGCCTTTTTACCTGGGAAGATTCTAGAATTATAGGGTTTTAAAAGGCCAGAAATGTGAGTAAACAGTATTTAATTGTAAGTTCCCTTTGTGAAGGAGAGAAGAAGCCATTGTCTTTCCTCCTCTCTGGGGATGGGTAGAGATACGCAGTCAGGCCTGACAAGTACTGTCCTCCAGCTTCTGGTCCTGGAAAGGTCAAATTACAATATGGCTGCACCCAGCTGTGTCCCAAATCACTCTAAGAACCACAGCAAGAGAAGATTTTGAACACAGTCTTACAGTTAAGTGCAGGTTTCCTATGATGGACAAGGAGTCGAACAGACCTGGATCCCAATCCTGGCCGGAAAGTTAGTTTGACAACTCTCGGCTTGTTCCTCAACCCAAACACAGGGAAAATAATACAAAACTGTGCTGGACAGGTGCTCAAAACCGATAGGTAATGAAAACCAAATCTAGACCAGAATAGGAAGATGTCCTGTAGTGCATGGTGACAATATTTGACCCATATCTTTTGGGCTAGTGGATATCTGCATAAAAATCTAGGTGAAAGATGATTCCCAAAGAGAGTCCTCTTTTGTTGCATGACCTGAATACATGGGGGAGCACCCTGGAGTCCATCTAATGGGTAGCGACCACAGATCCTGTGGCTGCCTGTCTTTAGAGTTTTAGAGACACATAGAGTCCATTGTGTCCCACCCAGCAAGCCGACCCTTGATCTAGGAGCCTAAGGACCATGGCCCTGAAGATATGCGAACCAAAGAAATCTCATCCTCAACCAGGATCCCAGGTAAGAGACCTTGTCTAGACAGTCACTACCCTGTAGTCTAGAGCTCAACTCTACCACTTCTCAGCATTATGACTTGGAGTCAAGTTATCCAGCTCCATATCTGTAAAATGGGAATAATGGTACTTATGTCTTAGGGTTCTTCAAACTATGAACCAGTTCATGGAAAGCTCAAGGCCTAGCACTCAGGACTTCTCATTAAATGGTTATGATTTTTAGCCCTGTGGGATTGGAGAGGCCACCCAGCCCATCTGGCTGTGTGGCTTCTTTACCCCCTGTGATGCCCCGAACTCTCCAAAGCATCTGAGCAACTTGGCCAGTTTCCCCTGACGTCTGTGTGCCGGCCCGTGGAACACAAGCCGCCGTCCCGACCACCTGTCTGGCACACATCTGGGGTAAGAAAACATTCCAAAGCCCTGAATCCTCTCTTTGGAATTGACTAAGCTCATTGCCTGAAGGCTAACTCTCATATTTTCTCTTTTATCCATTATTGACTTATAATTTTCATCACTAACCCTAAAATTCACTGGGGTTTGCAAAAAAGGGATTGTTCGGGACCATTATCCTTTTGTGAACTTCAAACAGACTGCGTCAACGTCTCTCCTTGCCTGCAAATTTTAGGATCTAATTCATTCCGACGGGTACTTCCTCCAGGCCCCTTGTGGGCCTCTGATGAGTTCTCTTGCCTTTCTCTAGACCTGTGGTATTGCTGCTGTGGCTCGGCCTCAGACATCCAACAAGCAATCAAATGGTATAGGGGCTTGAGAACAATCTGTAATCACAGCCACCACAATGCACAAGCCATCATTTGAAAAGAAAACCCTTTCCAAAGTGAGTCACTTGGCAGCTTCACGTGGAGCTAAGAGAGGTGTCTGAGCACAGTTTATCGAGAGGGGAGGAGAAGCTGGTGTTTTAAAACATGCTAATTAAAGCCAGGCATGGTGGTTCATGCCTGTAATCCCAGCACTTTGGGAGGCCGAGGTGGGAGGATTGCCTGAACCCAGGAGTTTGAGACTAGGTAACATATGAGACCTCATCGCTTTAAAAAACTTTTTTAAATTAAAGAAAAACATGCTAATCAGAAAACCTGTGATTGAATCTGCTTCCTTCAGGAAATGCCCTCTGGAGTGAAATGGGGACTAATGCAAAGGATAAGATAAAGAGGTTATGACTATTATTTCAGTTCTCACCCACTGCCCATTTTCTGCCTTTCCCTCCCCAACAAAGTTCGGCATTCTCTGATTATTTTTTATAGAGAAGGTGTGTTCATTCTGGACATGCAAAGGGAAACATCTAACATGTATTATAAACCACATGCATGATCCCCTTTAAAAGTGACTTTTCCCAAATCTGTGAGAAATCAGCACTTGGCTTGCAGAAGAGAACACTGAGGCTCTGAGAGATTGTGTTACTCGCCCAACATTCCACAGCTAGAATGTGGCAGAGCTGAGATTCAAACCCTGGCCCCAAAGCCCACGCTCATACCTTAGACCATATCCAGTACAGAATGCCCCTGAGGCTTTGTTCCTGCTTACAGCCCTCTTTCACATGTCCACAGAGATCCAACTGTTAGTCTTGGACCACAACAGAATACAGCAGGAGCCAACATCTCAACAACTCATCTGTTCCCAAAGGCTTGAGTTCTCCATTCAAGACCCTCTAACGGTGCTTCCCCGCCCAGCTCACCACAACCTCCCTCGGGCCCCTGCTCCCCTTCTCTGCCCCATCCACTGCGGACACACAGGAAAAAGGAAAGAAACTACTGATCACAATGCTTCTCCCAAATCTAAACCGTCTCCACAAACCCAGTGCCAGGATCATTTGCAGTAGACAGGATTTCTCTCAAAGGCCATAGCATATGGGTTCTTACCCTAGAGTCAGTCCAAGTGGCCCAAGTGTGGGTCAGCACCCGCATAGAGGTATATTTTTCTAGGGAGAGAGTTTATAGCTTTCAACAGTTTTCAAAGTGATCTCTGAGACCCATGATAGGTTGCAACCCATGCTTTAATAGACTTCCTTGCACCGTCTGCTTTGTTGGAATGCATTCATGGAGGCTCTGCTCCAAGAGGACTCAAGTCAGGGATTGGCTGTTCAACAGCAGCCCAGCCACAGGCCTGCATTCGTTCCTGTAATTAGGACATATTCAACTTGGCATCACCAGTCATTCACACTCAAGTTCCTCTCACTCCTGGCCCTGCTACTTTGGTCCCCCTGACAACCTCAGAGTCTCTCTACTATAGGTATCTGAAAAGTACACTTACCCCGAAGACGGTCCTTCCCACCAGAACCATTAACAGCAGAACATGGAGATCAGACACTCTAGCAAACATCTTTGCAGTTTAAGGACAAGTGTTTTGCTCTCAGTACAATTTCTTTTGTTGTCTATGCCTTGGATGGGGGGAGGAATGTCAGTCTCCAAGGATTCAGGAACCAATGAAGAGAATGCAAATTATTAACTAGGCATCAAATACTGTTTAATGTTTTGCAAACCAACTATCTTGATTAAACAAATGGTAACTTTGGGGTTGGGCTGAGTCATAAGGTAGCTTCTCCTCTGGATAGAAAGTCTCCAAAGGAAATAGCTGACATACAAGATCCCCCTGGCTCCTGGGTGCACATGGGAGGTGCTGAGTGTTCAGTGCAGAAGCCCTGATGGTGAAACTAGCATCCCATCCCCACGATGCAAGATCAGGCGAGGCTTGTACCGCAGGCCTCTGCCATTGCTGACTTGGACAGAATGTCAATGGACTTCTGATTCATCAAATCTCAATAAGAATTAAGGCATGGATGGGCTCCTAATAACATCACACTTTATATTCATGAAAGATAAATTAAAGGATGCAAAACTGCTATTGACAAACATTGATTCTGGGCCCTTTGAAGTGTTGCCCACAGCTGCTTGTTGGTTTCAAAAGTTTTCTTTTAAATCTCATTACGTAAGGCTTTTACTTTTTAATTATTTTTTCCCCTTTCATTGGAGTCTTTTTTGATCATGGGGAGGAAAAAAAAACATGATGCTCATATTTAAGAACAATTGTTTCTTGTATTCCTTATTTGTCTATACTGGTTGCAGGTAGGGCTCTATAAAGTTGCAGTTACCTATAAAATGTGAGTTCCTGTGGACACTATTGATCTCTTTAATAGGCATGATCTTGCACTCCTGTAAACACCTGACTGTCCACAGTAATCTATGCATAGGCTCCAGGAATCCTCCAGACCCGAGTCCTAAATCAGGGTTCTGAACTGTGGCTGCCAATGGAGGCACGTACTCGCCTGTATCCCTCCCCTTTCCATCCCTTTCCTGTCTGCCGTCCCTATTTGACACATGCACTCAGACTGCTTGGCTGCTTCCACCTCTGGAAGCCAGGTTGTTAACCATGGAAGCCCTCACGGGTCCCAGCCCAAAAGAAGGCAAAAGTCAATGCCCCACTTACCAGATGAACCTTGAAGGACTGAATCCTGCTATTTTACTTCTTAAATGACTCCCCATTTTTTTTTCTTTTCTCTGCTTATTTTGTCTCCATCCTAGTTTAGGTAGCCATTAATTCCCCCCAGTCAGCATCCTTCTGATCCCTATAACATATGCACACACTAGTAGTCAGGTCCTTTGTCTAGAAAGTTCTTCTCTAACCTAACTCTTCCCCAATTATTATTTCAACTGTAACTCTGTTAACTTTAACCCTAATCACTCTTGAGCAAGTTAATTTCGTTAACTCAATTAATGTATCTTTCTGATCTTAGTCCAAACATAACTTCCTCAGAAGCCCTGCATGTGTTTTTCCTTTATAGTGTTTATCAAGGTTGTAATGTCACATCTGTATTGCTAGTTCATTAATATTTTTTCCCTCACTGCCTCCATTAGACTGAAAGCTCACAAGGACAGTCACTCTGTCTTGATTACCACTGAATCGTCAGCATAGATGCGCACACTGGATCGGTGCTCAATGAGTTTATGTGGGATGGAATGAACACAAGAATGGCCACTTTATTACAGTGACAGTTGGACATGTTATCACCAGGACGCCTTAGATAGCACAGCCAACTCATTGTGAAAAGAAAACTGAATGAGAAAAACAAAAAGCATTTGTGGCACTTTAAACACACTTCAACTTATTCATGAACACTCCATTAATATTCATCAAAAATGTACTGAGGCTCTCCTGAGCCAGGCGTTGGTGATAGTAAGATGGAGGAGGCGAACCCAAGCTGCTTGAGGAGGAGATGGGCAGACAATGAAAAAAGTCAACAGTTAATTTTTGTCAGTGATATATACGGAAAAGAATGAAACAACGTGACGGAATAGAAATCCCCATGGGCGGGAAGGTTTCCGTGGACTGGGAAGGGACAATGGTGGGTTCTGAGGACATTGTTGGCGGTTTTCTGATCCTGTGTCAAGGACCAAAGAGGCAGTGGACATGAGGAATTTGCAGCTTTCCAGATTCAAAGCTGGAGTCCTCATAGCATCTGCTCAGACTGTAAAAAGCAAAAATGCAAATGTCCAGGGAGGTCCTGTCACTAAATCACTCATGTGACTGAGGCGTCTCCTTTTCCCTTCCCTGCCTATGTGAACCAGGGAACTTCTGACTTTGTGGAGAGATTCCCAGCAAACAAGCCAGAGTTTTTCTTCCTGTGTCAACAGGAAGTGACTGGGTGAGTTTGTTGTTCATTTTGTAATCCGGATTAATTTCCCTGACATGTAATCTTCCATTTATTTCCAACAGAAAGGGAACAATTTTGCTCTTTTTGTAATAACTAAGGGCCTTCCACATATTGTCTCTTGTTTCCCTGAGGTTTTGTTATCATGACAATGTGAAATTGACTAAATTTCTACACTTACTCCTAAAGGAGTGAATACTCTAAAAGATACCTAATCTTTTCATTTAGAAGGACAAAAGAGGCCAGCTTATCATGTAATACGTCTTTATCTGGAGAGCTAGAAGGCACTTACCTGAGATCTCTGTGTTTTAAACCCAAACATAGAGGCTTCAGTGCTCTTCCCATGGGGGTTTCAGATGTTATCAAGTTAATCTGGTCTCTGTTCTCTGGGTGACATTTTCTCATGTGTTGGATTACCAGCCACTGGAGAAGGCCCCTTCTTGCCATAGGAGCCCTCAGGAGGCTGGTCCTCTAGTTGGCTAATTTTTCACCAAAAGGAAAGTCTTCCTCACAAAGCCTTTGCTGGAGACCTACCCTTTGATGTACTAGGTGAACAATTCTTTTTTTTTTTTTTTTTGAGATGGGATCTGTTCCCCAACTGGAGTGCAGTGGCGCCATCATAGCTCACTGTAGCCTTGAACTCCTGGGCTGAAGTGATCCTTCCCCCTCAGCCTCCAGATTAGCTAGGACTACAGGCACATGCTACCATGGCTATTTATTTATTTATTTATTTATATTTATTGTAGAGATGAGGTCTCACCATATTGTCCAGCCTGGTCACGAACCTGCAGGTTCAGGCAATCCTCTCACCTCAGCCTCCCAAAGTGCTGGGATTATGGGTGTGAGCCACCACTCCCATCCCATACTTCTTTATTTTAAATATGTGGATTAGATATACAAATGTTCATCACACAGGTACCCTTGTTGATGAGGTGTGCCCTCCCCCATCCCCTGGCAGTTTCCCACTACTGCCAATCCCACCACCACTCTCCCCTGGCAGTTTCCCACTGCAGGGCTGGCTAATTTTTAAAATATTTTTGTAGATATAAGATCTTGCTATGTTGCCCAGACTGGTCTCCAACTCCTGGACTCAAGCAGTCCTTCTACCTCAGCCTCCCAAAATGCTGAGATTACAGAAGTAAACCACCACATCTGGCTTGAGCAATTGTTTTTATACAGCAATCACCTGAAGGGCCTGAACAAATCTATTTCACTTTTATTTGTTTGCTTTCCTTAAGTAACAGCCTTTTTCCTGCTAAGCCTCAGTAAAGGAGTGCCCAAGAGCAGCAGCTTGGACTGAGAAAAGACCTGGGGTACAGTCTTAGCTCTGCCATATCCCCATTGCGTGATTTTTGGACCAGTCACTTACCACCTCTGGGCCTCAATTTCCTCATCAGCAAAATAGGAATAATATAGCTCCTACTTCATGATATTACTGAGAGGTGCCCATGAACTCGTAAATGTAAGGTGCTGAGTGTAGCAACAGGCATAGAGTAGAACTTTGCAGATCGCCCTGGATTTGGAAACAGCGAAGGCTTTCTGTGGGATGGGACTTGCAACCCCTTCAGAGATGCAAGGGCCTGGTGCTCAGTGAGTCTAACTTCGAGGGAAGTGATGACCACCACCTTGGGAGAAACCCTCGTCTGATCTGGTCTCTCTAAACAGGGGCCAGCAAACTTTTTCTGAAAGGGTTAGAGAGGAATTTTCTGTTGGGACTATTCAGTCCCGGCTTGGTAGCACAAAATTAGCTACAAGCTGTAGTATGCAAATGGGCATGGTATATTCCAATATAGCCCAAAAGAAGACCATGGTTTGGAGACCACTACTCTAGGAGAAAGCCATGCAGAAGCAGCTACAGTATTGCTCAGCTCGAGGGAACACTGGAAAACAATAGTGACATGTTGGAAAACATGGGATGATGCCACAGTGCCTCCCTCAGAACATTTACCCGGAAGTTATACATGCACACCCTTCTGGAAATCATCAGACTTCTTTGCAGGGGTAGGAGACTAATGGTCATTATCATTCATTTCACAAGGGTTTATTGAGCTCCTACTTTGCTTCAGTGCTCCAGGAAGCAAAGCAGACAGACCAGATTTCAACCTTGTCGAGTTACATTCTCAGGGTCCTCACTCAGAGTCATGTGACTGGCCTTCAGGTAAATTCCTAAAGTCATCTCTGATCAGAGAAGACATCCTGTGGGGAAGTGTCACTGCTCTTTCCTGTTGTCCCATAGGCCTCTGCCTGACGCATTAACTTCTAACCACCCCCTTTTGGGAGGAATGAGCAGCAGAAATGCCTTGTTAGCTTGGCATGGGACAAGTGATCTTTTCCCACTCTGCCCCAAGGCCCCCAGTGCAGGTCAGAATGTTCATATCCACTGGAAACTCGTTAGTATTACACACCCATTTTCTGACTTGAAGATACTAGGACGTCCCCCGTGTTTGTGAAAGGAAGCCAATATTTATTGAGGATTTAGTTGGATCAATCACATAAATCTTTATAGCTACTATGCAAGGTGATTTGGCCCATTTTTCAGTTGAAGAAAGAGGTTCAGAGAGCTTAAATGTCACATAGCTTGATGCAGGGCCAGGATTAGAAGTCATCTGACTTCAGGCCAGGTGAAAGAGGCGGGACTCTGGGCAACTCTCCTTGGTTAAGGGGAGTTATCAGATAATAATTTGGTTAAATTAGTAATAATTAAATTATTAAATTATTTTATATAATATATAACCAAATTATAATAATTTTTTAGGGGAAATTCTCAGCTGAGAGCCCTTAG